TTTTTTTTTTTTTTTTTTTTGCCCCATGTACCACCACGTTTTGTGCAGGGATAACAAGCTGATTTAATGTATTACCTAGCCACCACCACCACCACTCTTTTTATTTCAGTTTTTTATAAACATTTTTCTTCCCATTCCATGACGTACTCTTCTCTCAACAGACTGGTTTTCTCTCTCTTGCCCACCCACTCCCCCCTCCTCTTTCCAATTGAATCAGGGTTTGACTGCACCATGGAGGAAAAAAAAAAATCTGCCACTTTATATTTCAGTACAATCAGGAACGGATGTGTCCTGCCCCTATTTGTCCATTTGGGGGCAACATTGCCATGCTTCAGAGGTTTAACTGTGCCAACAGGGTTGGAGGATCACAAAGGCAATGTTGGACTTGGAACTGTGCGATAATAAAACTTCTTCAAGGTTTTATCTATTTTTCATTCAGATCGACAAAATCTCTATTTTTTGGCTTACTACTGACAATTTTCATTTCAGAAACCTGTTTTCTGGAGCCTTAACATTTTTTTTTCTAATTATTGGTGACTTCTCAAAAGAACTGCTCAAACAGTGACACTGCTGGAGAAATCAGGGATAGTGTGAAGTCACACGGGACTCGAGACATTTCAGAGGAGGAATTGCAAAGGCCTCTGGGAAAGAAATAATGGATGTGTCCTCCACAACCAGAACTCTCACCATTTAAATCAAAAATTGTACTATTGACATCCTTCACACCCCTCTGCTTTGCTTTCTTTTGATGTTTGTCGTGAAGGGGTCCTTTGTATGTTTCATCAGGAGATTCTGCTTGTGTACACAACCCAGTCTGAGAGAATTGTCGCATCCACCACCTTAAATTACTTTATCAGATTTATGTAATGATGTAAGTGCTGCATTGAATCAATTGTTGCTATCATATTTTTGTTCCACAAAAAGGGGGAAGGTTCCGATATTTGTCTAGTCACCGTCATTCTGTCTTAATCCTTTCTTTGTTTTTTCCTTTAATTTGGTTTCGCTAAGTCTATCATGTTGGTCATAATGCTAAGCTTTAACGTAGGAGCCTATATATTCATGGAGAAAGCCTAAAAATGTATAACCTAAAAATTAATGTAACTGATTTAATATCAAGTAAGAAAAAAATACGAAGAATGAGATGTGGTTTCTGTGTGTTTTTTGGATGTTGCGATTATAGTTTGTTCTAGACTGAAGCCATTGATTATGATACTGTAAACTACATTGAGGTATGTTTAAAAAAAAAAAAAAAGAAAAAAAAGATTGGATATTAAAAAATAAAAAATATTAATAGATGTGTGTGCCCATGCATGGCAAGCTGCATAATGGAAGTCTGTTGGGGATGGCTGAAGTATTATTTACTCTGCAGCTTGCTTTTTCGGGTGATGACGGGTGTTCAGACACCCGTTTTGGAGCATTCACAGCAAGATTATTTGTGAGATCAGTTGGTTCGCGCCTCGTGATTAGTTTGAGATTGTCATTTAATCTTGGACTGAAAGATTACAAAGATGAAGAGAGGAATTCATGACTGCCTCTTTGCCTTTTAAGGGATTTTTATTTTTGTTTCTCTCGTCTGTGTAATTCTTATTTTTAATCTGTTGTGATTTTACAGTGAGCTAATTCAATTTTCAGATTCCACTTCACAGTTCTCTGAAGTCGTGTCACCTTAACAGTAATGTCAGGTAAACATGTCCTGGAAATAAGCTGTTTGTATTCTCAGATTATGTTAGATTATGTGAGTGTTGTGCGATCTGTCTTGACTGTTAACACCGTTAAAACATTGAAATGGCACAAGTGCTGCACTGTGCTGAGGTACTTCAAATAATTTGAACTGTCTGCTTCACAGCAGTATTTTCCAGGTGTGTGTTTGCACCTGACCAGTGTAACCCCCCCCCCCCCCCCCCCAAAAAAAAAATCATCGAGAGAACTGCCATCTAACAGTAGCCTTTGTTCTTTGTCTCCTCATTTTTTTAAATTTTTTTTTAAAATCTGCACTAATCAATAGCTAGGTGGATCTAAGCAATACGGTGAACATGTTTAACTTCACCAACACCACTCTCACCAAGCAGCGTAAAGGCAGGGAAAAGCTTAAGGATGCCGCCGCCAACCCATCGCAGCCACAGCCGTCTTTCTCTCGGGAAGCGACTGGTTGTGATTGTAGGACAGGGCCTAAATGCATGTTAATGTAAACTGTCAGGAAATGTTTGCTGCAAGAGGGATGTCAGGTTAGCCATGAAATTATATTTATTAAAGAAAGGATCAATGAAATACAAAGTACTAAATAAACCTTATCTTGTAGGCCACAGCTGTAGTGACGATACCTTGTTCAAAAGATCTATCTTGGTTTTCTATCTTAAAAAAAAAAAAAATCAAGCCTTAATAAACTGTCCATTCAGAAATTACTTCGTCTTGATCTCATGAATTCTTTGTGAGTAACTAAACAAACATGTGGCCTTATATGAGTGAAATCTCTGTAGTGCAGCCTGCAGAGCTTAAATGTCACTGAAAGGTTTTCTTTGCTGCAATTTGTTTTTCTTTGTTTTTTTCACCATGATGCTGACAACAGTGTAAATACTTTATTGTAGTATAAGGCAAATGTGTCCACAGTTTCAAGTAGTCTAGAGAAGAATTTGAGTGCACAAATGGAGTTGCTGCACCCTGGAATAAAAATAAAAACAGATTTGACATTTATTGAAATTGATTTAGCCATTTTACGCTTCTAAAATAATACAAGAAAGAGGCTTTAGGTTTGAATTAGGAAAAGGTTGGGGGTAATCTAGTTGTTTAGTCTGAGATGTCTTTTTCGCTTGCTGTAAATGTAAGTTGTTTTGAAACTCCGTTAATGATATAATTGATCCACAATAGATTTTCTTTTCTTCCCTTGACAGGAGCTCTCCGTGGTGCTGAATTCTTGATTTGAAGGACCTGCTGGTAGGATGTTCCAGTCATAATCTGGCGTGAAAACACTCTGAAATGGAGAATTTCTTCTACCTTAGATATACATTAATGTGATCATTTTAAAGGATGTGTGGTCAAATGAGTGAATCCTTTCCAGATCATCAGGGAAGATCTGTGGAACAAAACCTAAATCACAAGACTGCTAATGTGTAACTCTTAGTTCTACATTTATAAAATATGCTTATGCAAACAGTCCATGGATTCAAAACTGGGATGAGGGCATACAATCGGTAATAAAATAATCACAAGAACAGATAGAAAACTCAGTGCAGCTTATTCTTTATTTGTTTTGCATCATTACAAAATATAATTTCAGCTATAACAACAGGCAAACAATATTTTCAGACTATACAGATTAAGCAGCAAAAGGTGCTATATAACTGCTAATAGAATGAGGAGTTCTTTTTGCTGGAAATCTTTCTGAGTGAATTAAAGAAAAAAAGATTTTATTAGGTGGCACAAGCTCCAAACCTGAGGCTTCAAGTTACATGACAGCAGCAAATACTGAACTAAAAGTGTTGGAAAATGACAGAAAACACGACCTTTGGCTCTTTGTGGTAATGTTGGACCATTCATTTATTCATATCTAATGAAGCTTTTATTTATTAATATGTTTTGAAGACCTTCAGATGATCATTAGAAGCATACCCATCTGAGCTAAATTTGATCGAGGTATCAACCAAAAGCATCCAGTGGAGACAAGGACTATCACAGGCACTATTCTTCTGTAGTGCTGGTTGTAAATCAATGGCCTGTTTAACAGCAGAGTGAAATCCGAGCTGGTCTAAAAGGAGCACTCAATTATTTTGTGGGACTTTATCTTATTTAGTATTCATTGCTATGCCCCCAGAGTGATAAACAGCTTCCGTGATGCGTTGTCTGAGGAACGCCTGTAGGTGGCATTGAATTGCCTATATTTCTATATGCTGACTCCGTGCGAATAAACCCTGTCGCTATGGTCAGTTTGTATCCCTTCGAGGCTCTTCAGCCTGTGCTGTGGGCCCGAGGATTCAGCCACACCGTGAGGTGTGTCGGAGTGGAACTGCTGTCCTACTTTTCCTCTAGAAATAATATATCAGACGCCAACCCCAGCTGAAGCTAGTAAAGTCCACAACACCTCGTTGGTGGCCTCTGTTACATTTGGTAAAATACCTTTAAAAAATTGCCACACAAGGACAGCACAGAATCCCACCGATATGGATTTAGCATTCATGCGCTCACAGCTGTTTCCGCTGTCAGACATACAGTTTGGCGATTTCTTGGCAAGCTTCGGAGCTGGTGCACCAAAACAATTTGCTGCTTAACGGTCTCGCTTAATTTTAAAAGCACAACAAATATAAAAACATTTTATTTTATTTTTTTTATTTAATTGGTCCCAAATCTCCCGCTTGGGTTTAGAAATGTCATGTGTTTGTTTGTTGTTGTGTTTTTGTTTTAGGATTGTCGCACTTAAAAATGAAAGCCTTTCACTGAGTACTAAATTTAAAAGAAGAAGAAGGCTGAAGAAGACCATATTTTAAAATAATTCCCGAGAGTGTTTTATAAAACCAAGAGGTGGACTTCTGACTTGGCAACTACGTTGTGCGTATCCAGATTTCAGATACACTTTGCATTTAAAGGACATCCCGGACTAATCAGGGATTTCAAAGCAATACGTTTCTCACCAATGACTTGAAATAAACGCTAGATTGGACTACCCCAATTCTATACCAAAATGGCCTATTAAAGTACGCATTGCGTCCATACAGTCAAAGCAACACACACACACACACACACACACCCATCCGAGCTTCCGCGTGCGCACGCACACACGCGCCGTTGAGTGACAGTACAGCAGTCAGCTTTATCCTGCTGCTATGGTCGGCAGTCAGGGCCTGTCCCCCTCCCCTCCTAGCATTCGGGGTCAAAGGAGCGCACTCTAAGCCGACAACCTGATGAAATAACGAAGGAATAAAATGTGAAGCATGATGCTGTGTAGATTCCTCTCTTGGCATTCACCGCGTGCCTTAATTGTAT